GCCATCTTTTCCCTTCTTCTTCTTCTTCTTCTTCTTCTTCTTCTTCTTCTTCTTCTTCTTCTTCTTTTCTCCTCCCGTCCCTCCTCTCCTACCCCCATCCCCTTTTCTTTGAATGAGTCTCGCTGCCCTAGCAGCAAATGCAAAAGAGGGCTTCACCCTCTATTTTCTCTCCCATCTCTTTTCTTAGGCGTGCTCGTCGGAATTCCAGCCCTAGCAGCGGCAACAATGGTTCTGTACAGGGGTTGTGGCAACACCTTCCTCGGCACCCCGGTTCCACTCCAAGTTCTATTGTTCTGGAAAATTTGTTTTTGACTTGTTAGTATTTGTTTTACTGACTTTTATCCTTGACTATTGTATTTACTTCGACTTGTTTACATTTTCTCTGCCATTAGTTGAGTCATTTGTATCTTTTGCGTCCTAATATTTTTTAGTCTATGCATAAACTCTGATTGCTTCTCTGCATTTGTAGTAGTTGTAGTTTAGTCTATACTCTTTAGCATAGTTCTTTGCTTGTGTATGTGGCTACATTGAGCGATGGTAGAGTAAGGTCATGTCCTCTGGGGGGCGGGAGGGGGTAAGGGTAAGGGTTACGCTAGGCTGAAAGTGGGGTCCTGGAATATAGGAACATTGACGGGTAAGTCTATAGAGTTAGGGAAGATTCTTCCGAAGAGGGGGATTAATATAGCGTGTGTCTGGGAGACTAGATGGATGGGTACGAAGGCTCGAGATGTTAACGGGTTCAAACTGTAGTATTCAAGTGGTGCTAAGGGCAGGAACGGGGTAGGTATTTTTGTTGATAGGGATCTCAGGGAGATAGATATTAGGAAGATGAACGATAGGCTGATGAGTATCAAGCTAGTGGTTGGTTGGTTCACTTTACAAGTGATTAGTGCTTACGCGCCACAAGTGGGCCTGGGCGAGGAGGTCAAGAGGCGATTTTGGGAGGATTTGGATGAGGTTGTGCGTGGTATTCCGCACAACGAGAAGCTCTTCATAGAAGGTGATTTTAATGGCTATGTTGGGGAGACTGCTAGGGGTTATGACGAGGTGCATGGCGGGTTGGCGGGTTTGGTTTTGGAGATAGGAACGAGGGAGGAACCTCGCTGTTGGATTTTGCTGGTGCTTTTGACTTGGTGGTAGCTAACACGTGTGTTCAAAAGAGGGAGGACTACTTGGTCACTTTTCAGAGTAAAGTAGCCAAGACTCAGATTGATTATCTTCTCATCATGCGGTGTGATAGGGGTCTTTGCACTGATTGTAAGGTTATCCCGAGTGACTGTCTATTGACGCATCATAGGCTCTTAGTAATGGACTTGGAGATCAAGATAGCAAGGAAGAAGAAAGCGGTGTACGGTCAGCCTAAGATCAAGTGGAGAGCCTTGACTAAGGACAAAGCTCAGGAGTTGGGGGAGAAGCTGTTGGCCATGGGGGCATGGAGGAGTAGGGGGGACGCGAGTAGTATGTGGACCACGACTGCGAACTGCATTAGGGAAGCTGCTAGAGTGGTGTTAGGGGTCACGAAGGGATACTCAGGAGGCCACAAAGGGGACTAGTGGTAGAATGGGGAAGTCCAAGGTAAAGTGGAAGCCAAGAAAACGGCAAATCTGAAGCTAGTGGAAAGCACGGACAAGGAGGAGAAGAGAACTTATAGGGAGTGTTATAAGAAGGTTAGGAGAGAGGCGAAAGTAGCGGTTACGGCGGTTAAGACTGCAGCATTTGAACGACTATATGAGGATCTTGGGGGCAAAGGTGGGGATAGGAAGCTGCACAAGTTAGCCAAGATTAGAGAGAGGAAGGCTCGGGACCTGGACCAAGTGAGGTGCATCAAAGATGAGGATGGCTAGGTATTGGTAGAAGAGGCATGTATTAGGCGTAGGTGGCAAACATACTTCCATAAACTCTTGAACGTGGAAAGGGACACGAACATCGTGCTTGATGAGTTGGAGAACTCAGAGTCTGAGTGATTTCGGGTTTTGTAGGCGTATTAAGGTTGTGGATGTTGACGAGGCAATGCGGAAGATGAATAAGGGTAAGGCGAATGGGCCTGACGAGATACCAGTGGAATTTTGGAAGAGCGCGGGTCGGGCAGGCTTGGAGTGGCTTATTGGTTTGTTAATGTCATTTTTAGGACGAAGAAGATGCCTTAAGATTGACGGTGGAGTTTAATGATTTCGTTGTACAAAAACAAAGGTGATATCCCGAATTGCAACAACTATAAGGGGATCAAGCTGCTGAGTCACACTATGAAAGTTTGGGAGAGGGGGTGGAGAGGAGGGTGAGGAGAAATGTGTCTATTTTCGAGAATCAGTTCAGATTTATGCACCGGGGGCTCAACTACCGAAGCCATAAACCTTGTGCAGAGATTGGTGGAGCAGTTTCGGGAGAGGAAAAAAGACTTGCATATGGAGTTCATTGACCTAGAAAAAGTTTACGACAAAGTCCCGAGGGAGGTGTTTGGAGGTTAGCGGTGTTCTGGTATCGTACATTATGGTGATTAAGGATATGTACGAGAGAGTTAAGACTCGGGTGAGGACTGCGGGTGGTGACTCAGAGCATTTCCCTGTGGAGATGGGTTTCATCAGGGATCGGCTCTTAGCCCATTTTTGTTTGCCCTGACATATTGGATGTGCTGACGCGACGCATACAAGGGGAGGTGACATAGTGTATGCTATTTGCTGATGACATAGTATTGATTGACGAGACGCGAGGTGGGTTAACGCAAGGTTGGAGGTTTGGAGACCAACGCTAGAGTCTAAAGATTTCAAGTTGAGCAGGTCGAAAACAGAATACACGGAGTGAGAGTTCGGTGATGGGATGCCTGAAGCAGAAGTAGAAGTGATGATTGATACACAAGTCATCCCCCAAAGGGATAGTTTCAGATATCTTGGGTTTGTAATTAAAGGCAATAGGTAGATTGACAAGGATGTTACTCATCGTATTGGAGCGGGGTGGATAAAATTGAGGCTCGCTTCTGCGGTTCTGTGTGATAAGAACGTGCCACCAAGATTTAACGACAAGTTCTATAGTGTAGTGGTTAGATCGACTATGTTGTATGAGGCAGAGTGCTGGCCCGTCAAGAAGATGAAGTTAGCTGAAATGAGGACGTTGAGATGGATGTGTGGGCATACCAGGGCACGTTCTTATCACACAGAACCGCATAGGTTTGATCGGGAGTTGACTTTGATGATATTGGGTTCGGACTGTTGTTCCGGGAGTTGGAATAGGTTCGTTATGTCATTTAGAACTTGTGTTCAAAATTTGAAATCATTCTGAGTTGATTTGATATGGTTCGGCACGAGTCTTGTAAGTTGAAAGTTCATAAGTTCATTAAGCTTGATTTGAGGTGCGATTCGTGGTTTTGATATTGTCATGCGTGATTTGAGGCCTCGAGTAGGCTCGCGTTACGTTTTGGGACTTGTTGGTATGTTCAGACCGGATCTCGAGAGGCTCGGGTGAGATTCGGATGTGGTTCAGATCATTTGAGAACATGTTGGTTGATGCTGGTTTGGGTAGAGATCTGGTGTGACCGCACTTGCGCAACCTTGGGCGCAGGTGCGGAGCCGCATATGCGGCACTGGTAGCGCAGAAGCACAATCTGGAGCTGGGGGCGGAGTCTGCAAATGCGGAGATTGTTTTGGCGCAGAAGCGAGTTGGGCGCAGATGCGGTGCAGGTCCTCGCACCTGCGATGTCGCAGAAGCGGAGTTTTTTCCGCAGGTGCGGGAGGTCGGGATTATGTTTGTGTCTCGCAGAAGCGAGGTTCTGGTCGTAAAAGCGACGCTGTAGGTGCATTATTTTGTCCGTAAATGCGGATGTGCTGGGCAAATGCATTTATATCGAGATTTTGGTTATTTTTATCACAACTTGAGATTTAGAGCTCGGTTTTGGGCGATTTTGGAGAGGATTTTCACCACATGGATTGGGGTAACTATTTTTGGCTCGATTTTGATTATATTTCATGATTCCATTTTAGCATTTGATTGATGATTTTAGAAGAGAAATTGGAGGTTTTTGTCCAAATTTTTCTAAAGTGAATATTTGAGATTTGAGCATCGATTCGAAGTCGGATTTGAGTGAAATTAGTATGGTTGGACTCGTAATTGAATGAGTTGTCGGAAAACTGTGAGTTTTGTCGGGGTTCGAGAAGCGGACCCGGGTTGACTTTTTGGTTGACTTTGAGTAATTGATTAAAAATTCGACCTTTATCGTATGAGTTTGTTTTCTTTGGCATTATTTGATGATTTTGAGTTGCTTTTGGCTAGTTTCGAGCCTTTAGGAGGTTGATTTCCTCGGGATGGCATTTCTAGAGTAAGTAACATTTCTAAACTTAGATTTGAGGGTAATTATCCCTGGGAACTATTTTGTGATGTGTTGGGGTGACGCACATGCTTGGTAACGGGCGTGTGGGCGTGCACCGGGGTAATCATGATTCAAGTTGACTTTTAGACTAGTACCAGACTTGTTCTGCTATCATATCCTGTTATATCCGTGTTTTCCCTTGTTTGATTACCTGAGCTGTGATTCATGTTAGAAATCATGTTTAGGCTATGTGCTTATTTGGTTGAGACCTAATGTGGCTATTTCTGTTGTTTTGAGTTTTCTGATTTAACTGTAATTATACACTCAGTCATGGTTCTTCATTTGCAAATTATATCTCAGTCTCTGTTCATCATTCATTGTGACATTGCACGTATCATTATGTTTTTCCATATGTGGAGTTGTTGGGCTGAGTGGTATAAGATTGTGAGCCCTTGAGACTTGAGAGGTTGATGACTGAGGTGGACCTTAGAGCCGTGTTGAAAGTGTTATTGTGGATCGGGCTGCACGTCGCAATAGGTCATATTGGCTTTTGATTAGCGGTTGGGCAGGATCCGCCCCTCTGGAGTCTGACATACTAGCAGTGAGCGCAGGAACAGTGATATATATACACATGCTTTAGTGAGGGGCATTGATGCCAGTCACCCGTACAGTGCTGAGTGATCGTGTGTGTGATGAAGTGGGCATTTGAGACAGACAATTTGGGTATGTTGAGAGTGAGAGTACCTGGGGTATCACCGTAAAATCATTCATTTGACATGCATACTTGGCATGTAGGCATGGAGATGCATTTTTCTCATGTTAGACGGTAATGTGACATTTATGATTTGACATGTAGGCATAGAGATGTATATTCCTCATGCTAGACGGTATATGATAGTTGATGACTTGACATGTATTGATATGTAGGCATAGAGATGTACTTTCCTCATGCTAATTGGTAAACGGAAATTCTTATCTGGTGTTGTGAATGGGAATACAGTTCTTTTGATAAACTCATGTTTAGTGTTTTAGGGGTGAGATTTGGAATTGACTGTTTTACTTGAAAATTATGCCTACTTTCCCGTAACTGTGAACGAGCTAAGCATATATCTCTTGAATTATTTACCTTTACTGTTCTCATTATATTATTACGAGTTGTTATTGGCTACTGGTACTGGACTCTGATCTCTTTTCGAGCTCGTCACTGCTTTCAACATGAGGTTATGTTTGTTACTTATTGAGTACATGGGGTCGGTTGTACTCATACTATACGTCTGCACCTTGCGTGCAGATCTTGGAACTGATGTTGCTGTGTATGGCGGGAGCTGACATTGAAGATGTACGTGCATTTCGGTTATAACTGCCACTTGTCCTTGGTAGCTTTAGATTTGCAAATTCGAACAGATGATGTATTTATTTCGTACCAGCTTTGTAAATTCTAAGTCTTAGAAGCTCATGACTTGTACTACCAATCCTTGGGAGATTGTATAAATGTTTAGTAATTTTACTCATTTACTTTTATTATTCGCATTTGAGTTGTATTGACTGATATTTGGCTTACCTAGCGGGTAGGGGTAGGTGCCATCACGGCTAGATGGATTTTGGGTCGCGACACCCCACCTGTGGGTTTACACTTTTTTTTTTCTTTGTTGTTCCATAGGTAACCGCTTGAAATTGTTTCTTTTTTAATATAGTTATTTTCCTTGTGAAACTACTGGTTGACTACCTATGAACGATGCCGCTTTGGCCTTTGAGAATGGAGTGTACTGATCTGTATCTGCTGATCTAGAAGATTTAGCAACTGCTGCTATTCTACTTTTCAGGATATGATATTAATGATTTGGTTCGAGAAGCCCAAATCAGGTGGTTGAAGCCTGCTGAAGTTCTCTTCATACTGCGAAATCATGAGAACCACCAGCTCTCCAATGAAGCAGCTCAAAAGCCACCCAGTAGTCTCCAAACCCTCTTACTATTGGAACCATGTAGATTGCTGTCCTCTTCCATATCATCTGACAAAGTGGTTGTATCCACAGGTGGATCATTGTTTCTCTTTAACAAGAGGGTCCTCAGATTCTTCCGTAAAGATGGGCATAGTTGGCGCAAGAAGAAAGATGGGAGAACTGTTGGGGAGGCACATGAACGGCTTAAGGTAACAACATTTGTTAGGAAATATTGTGTTGTTGATATTGCAACTGACTTTTTTTGGGAAACTATGGTGTGTTTCACATGGATGGTATGAATCCCCAAAATGTATGCATTTCATATTCTTCTCCAGTTTCTCTAACAATTTTCCATTGCATGAGTAGTTCCTATTTGTCTCTTCCATGTCCAGGTTGGAAATGCTGAAGCCCTGAACTGTTATTATGCACACGGAGAGCAGAATCCTACCTTCCAGAGACGCAGCTATTGGATGTTGGATCCGTGAGTGTTACTTGCTCTTATCTATCTGTAAGATGGTATTTTTTGGTTTTGTGCACTTTTAGGAAAGAGGTGCTAAACTCACCATAGTTTCAAATGGCACCGAAATTTTAGGAGTTACAAAAAGCTGAATGGAAGCTTAATATTCTAGAGCTTCCTTTTCTGTTCTCTCTCTCTCAGAGCAAAAAGTTGGGAGGTAACTGATTGTTCTTTTTACTTTATTTGTTCACAACTTTGGATGCTTGGGCAGTGCGTACGAGCACATTGTTCTGGTTCACTACAGAGACATAACTGAGGTCAGTCTTCTAGAACCCAGTACAAGCTAATATGATGTCATGACAAGAGTTTTCGGTACCACTGAATAATTTTTCATCAATCAAAGGATCTATGCATCAGTAGTTCTTTGTTCTTCAGTTTCAACCATCATTTCTTTCTGTAATCTTGTTTCCCTGTGAATGCGGCAATAATGTGATGCTGGAGATCCTTCAATCTCTGTATTAGTATTTGTATGTACAGCTAATATTGGAGAATTAAATATTTGTTTAGTGCATCTTATTAAGCTGTTTATTAGCTAGAACTTAAATATGTTAAAAGTATAACGAGTCCTAACATCATTAGTTTTTCATATGAGAACAGGGTAGGCAGAATCCAGCCTTCATGTCGGAATCTTCTCCAATTTCTTCTACTTTCTCTCCCAGTCCAAGCTCCTATTCTACTCAACAGACGGGCTCTACTCTCATCGCCGGTGAATCTTATGAGCAGTACCAGAATCAATCTAGCCCTGGAGAAATTTGCTCTGATGCAGTCATCAATAATAACGGAATGTCAGACATCATAGGGAGAACAAAGGAGGTCATGAGTTCACCGGGGCTTGAGATGAGTCAAGCGTTGCGAAGGCTCGAGGAGCAGTTAAGTTTAAATGATGACAGCTTTAAAGAAATTGATCCCCTGTATGCAGATGCAATAAGTGACGACAGTTCACTTGTCGAGATGCAGGGGAACTCAAACAGTCTGTTGTTGCAACATCATTCAGGTTTTTGTCATTTTCATCTCTCATTATTATTGTAGAATGCACATATGCATCCTTATGGTTCTCTGCTTTGGATTTCTATTACAGGCAACTCAAAGCTTGGAGATTTTCTTACTTATTAGTTATTTGTGCTTTATCGTGAACTAGGTAGATATTTTTGTCAATTTGCTTGGTGTGGTTGACTACTGCTTGTTCTTAGCCTTGTAACTGTTGACCTGGATACTTGTCGGAATCTGATGGTTAAATGCTAGCCTTTATAGTAGCTTGTTTGACTTAGAAGTGTTTGCAAAATAGTATCTTATTTGTTTATTTTCTTTAACCATTTAACCTCAGCTGAATGTAGATTGATACATCAGCATCTGAAGGTCCACTCAGAGTTAGTCAGAACTGTACACCATAAAGATTATTCTGTTGAATTTAAACACGTAACTAATTATAAGTTTTTATGGCATCCACTAACAAATAGTGTATGTGTGACTGTAGTGATATTTCTTGTATGTAGATTTTCCCATTATTAATAAAATTATTTACCATACGAAAAAAAAGAAGTGAAAGTGTAACTTCTGAAGTTCTGATAGCAGTTAACTCAATGCTTCCTCTTGGATATTTAATTCCGTGTCTTTGTGTTCATTATTTCTTTAAATGGAGCTCTCATCTTTTTCTAGTTTAGAAGCAATAAATGTGAAGGTATGCTGATAAGACTGTGCCTCTGTAGCTGAGAGCAGTGAATCACATCATCAACATCTGACCCAGGATGGTCACGTCTGGAAAGATATGCTGGATCACTATGGGGTTTCCACAGCTGCTGAATCACTAACCAAATCTTTGCCCAAGTTAGATGAGAATGTAAGAAAAGTGTATTTTGTAGTTAGCTCTGTTTCATTAGGCCTATCAATGCATATAAGATCAAGATATAGTGCAAGTTTTAACCTTATCTCAGGGCCTTCTGGTGAAATACAACACCTGCCTCTTATCATAAACCCACATCAGCTATACATTTTAATATTAAAATCTAAACGTGTTTTCACATGCCTATACTTACCACAGGGAATGCTGCAAATCTCATCAGAGAGAGGTGCCATAGAAGCATATCAAAGCTACAAGTGGCCTAATTTCAGTGAAAAGGAGGCTCAGAAGGGTAATCATTTTTTCACCTCCAGAGGGTAATCTGTATCTACTACCTCTAGAATGTCACTAATTAGTTAATCTCTGGAAAACTCGTGTTTCTTTGCAGCTCCCATACCAGCTTTTAAACAACTTGAAAATTTCAAGTATCCTGCATATTCTCCTGGGGTAACTGCTTTTGGATCCAATTCTGACCAGTGTACAACAATATTTGACCAAGATCAGATTGGTACTTCGTTTGAAGATGAGATGAGCTTAACTATTTCCCAGAAGCAGAAATTTACATTTCGGGATATATCCCCTGATTGGGGGTATTCATCTGAGGCTACAAAGGTATATGTCATGATTTAGTTGATTGTTTGCGTTTGTACTGTAAACCATGTCTGCTCTCCATGGTTGTGGACTTGCGATGTTTCTTGAAATTTGTTTTCTGCATGTGCAAGTGGTGTCGAGATCCCAGTGGATTGCTTATACGTTTGTTTAGTCATTTGAAATTTCAGTGTTCTGTTTTCCATGCCCCAATAACTTATATAATTAGTTATGGCTTCCGAACACGCAGACTTCCATCGTTTTGCAACTGGTATTTTAAATGGTATTACTTCAAAATCTTGGATGAAATGCTTTTATATCATGGCTTAATTTCTGAATGCTGACTGGAACCTGAATGTATAGCAGTTTAAAGTAATACAAAGGTCATAAAGAGGAAGAGATGCAACTGGCTCCTGTAACCAACTCATAATGACTAATTCTTTTATCAACATTGGAGCTGCTCAATGCTCAAAACCCCCTTAAATCTTTGATATCTCTGTGGAAGCATTGGTTTATACATTCCTCTTAGTCTCGACTCTAGGGATAATTTTTTTCGTTATCTTTTTTCGAGAACCGCCTAAAGTTCCAACTAAAAAGAACTAAAAAGGTGAAATAATTTTTCATTATCTCAGTTGAAGAACTGAGCCTCCCGATAAAACCTCTGTAAATGATTTCCTATAGTCAAATTATGCTGAACAATTTGAAGGTAGCTTTTTATGAAAGCAATTTAAAATCCTCCTGTGCACCTTTTATCACAAAGGAAAAAAAATCCTTCCGTGTACCTTATATTCATGACCATGCTCAGGATATTGACAAGTTAGATACTAAGGTGTAGTTAATAGTTTTCAGCTGGTTTCTTCACCCATTTTTTTAATTATTACCAATATTTATAACGTTCTAGATCTTCAACGCAGGTTGTTATCATTGGATCTTTTCTCTGTAATCCTTCAGAGTGCATGTGGACTTGCATGTTTGGTGATAGTGAAGTTCCTGTTCAGATCATTCAAGAAGGTGTCATCTGTTGCCAAGCTCCTCCTCATTTGCCTGGTAAAGTCACCCTCTGTGTTACTAGTGGTAATAGGGAGTCATGCAGTGAGGTGAAGGAATTTGAATATCGGGATAAGCCTGATGATTGTGCTCGAAATAATCGATCTGACGTGGAAGGAGCTTATAAAAGTACAGAGGAATTGTTGTTACTTGTCAGGTTCGTGCAGCTGCTTCTATTGGACTTATCTGCCCAAAAAGAAGATAGTTCTATGTTGAGCAATGATTTCTTGGAGAAATGCAAAGCAAATGAAGATTCATGGTCCCAGGTCATTGAATCTCTTTTGTTTGGCACTTCAACATCAACGATAACCATTGATTGGCTTCTTCAAGAACTTCTAAAAGACAAGTTCCAGCAGTGGCTTTCTTATAAATTGCAACGAAAAGATAATCAGATGGGCTGTTCTTTATCTAAGAAAGAGCAAGGAATAATTCACATGGTTTCTGGATTGGGATTTGAGTGGGCGCTGCACCCAATTCTAAATGCTGCAGTCAGTGTTAACTTCCGTGATATTAACGGCTGGACTGCCCTGCACTGGGCTGCACGCTTTGGAAGGTAATTCTATTGTTTTTTTTGGTTTGATAAACTACTTCACTAATCACTGTGCTTCAGTTTTCACATTAAAATTTGTAGTCAGTAGCAATAGAAGCTGGATTAACAACTCTTAGGAAGTCAAACATGTCCCACTTCTAGGCCCCAGGGCATTGCTCTAGTGGTGAGAAAACAATGCGTGATGTGTGGTTAGGTGCACATCACCAGGCTTGAACCCTGCTGCAACAAAAGCCTGGCATTTAAGTGGATAAGGGTAGAAGGGTGGGCCCATTATC